TCAGAACATCTGACGGCTGATTAATTTGCATATAAATGTGGGTCGCCAACAGAGTGCCGTGTCTGACATGTTTGTTTCCTTTGATGCTGAGAGAATCACAGCGCCGGGATGAGACTGTGCACAAAAAAACCAGTATATAAAAAAGTTAATAATGCAGAAACATGTGCAGGATGATCCTTTTCAGTTGTTTTTTTGCAATAAAGTTGTTGTTTAAATGATCCAACATCCATTAAATACTGGTTAAATAACTTTAAACTTGTCCAACAGAAACTTCTGCTTGTGTGAAGCTGCATTTCTCCGTAGTTTGAGGTTTTGTCTCATCACGCTAAGCGTGTTTTTGTGTAGTTGTATATTTAGTAGGTTTCTGGGTCAGTGTGCATGTGTTGCGTTTATTTCCTATTTTCTGTTTCTCTTTATTTGTCTATAGTCTTCACATGAGAAAGTGGATTTGCTTTCAGGCTGGTATTAGTAGAAAACAAGGTCACCGTCCATCCCGGGCTGCCTTGCTGAGTCAGAGTGGAAACGCTGACAGCGAGAATGATTCTGCAACATGACTGCTGACAAAACAATGGTTTATCATTAAATGTACCAATGGAGTACCGTACATTTTTGTTAGATAAAAATGCATTGATAAAGCACAGCTGTGAGGATATTTTAGGTCAGTGACTCAGATCGTGCAGTGCAGGCTGACCTTGAATTAAAGCAGAACCAACACGTTCATGAGATGTTCGGTTTAATGAAAAGCTGCAGTTTAGTTAATGAAAATTTAACTTGTCGCTCTTTTTCGAGTCCTTTCTGGAGGTTTAGCCCCCTCGTATGCCAGGCTGACGTTTTTCAAACGAACGTCTTTGGTAACGTACTGCCTCATCCGAGTATTTAGGCTACTGTTTTTTTTTTCTGGTACCAGGAAACTTGTTATGTCCTCTGCCTGTGCTCCTGCTCAGTCCTCCAAGTGATGCTGATGTGGCCGTAATGCTGTGTGACACATGGAGTCTTGAAGACATGGGGGGCTCAGATTCACGCAGGCTTCTTGCTACGCTTCAGCAGCACTATGTAGGATAAGAATAAGCTCGCTGCGCTTGTGTGGACAGTTGATGATTGCAGTGCACATGTTGCCCGAGCACGTGAGGCTCCCTTCCCCCTCCACGTCGGTGATGTCAGACCATGTACTGTATGCTAACGGTGGCAGTGCATATGAGCCCATCCCCCACTCTGAGTGCCCTGCATCATCATCATCATCATCATCTATGAAGCTGCTCTTAAATGTTTTTGTGTTTAAAAGAATAATTCAGATCTTTTGAAATAAAAAGGTTATGACGAGTCAACATCTTACCTCTTGTAGATAGCTCTTTGGACATCCTTGTTTTGGAGAAATAGTACAATTCTGACTGGATTAATGAGCTAATGGCTAGTCCGAATTAAGCCAAGACCAAAGTGGATTGCTGCTGTCTTTCAAACAAGTCCACTTTGAAAAAGTTCATCAAGGATTTTGCAAACGCTGTTTTACAAACCTTTGCATTGCTGTAAATTTCACATTACGCTGTTATTCATGCAGAAATGTTATGATATTCCTGCAAGAAGTGCCAAAGGCTGCACCTGAAGTGCTACAGCTAGCTGCTATTACTGCTATGTGTTCTTGGAAATAATCATAGACTGCTATGTAAATAACCGTGTAATACCAAAGTGGTGGCAGTGTACTTTTTTATATTAAAGTGTTTACATGAGCCAATATGAAATGTTATTTAAAGATGGCAGCACCAGTGTGCTCTGAGCTCATCAGTTTGGTCCGAACTACCTTCTGTTTCTCCGTTCAAACAACTATCTACAACAGGTAAGATGTTGATTAGGCGTGCACTGGTTGCAGTTTTCTGGCCGATCACCGATTTCTAAAAAGTCTGACTTGCCGATTCCGATTTTGTTTTATAAGCGACACTGTCAGGAGTTATAAGGTCACGATGCACCTTCAATTTTCCAATCTTATTTTATTGAAAACGTACCCTTGAACAACCTACAACCTTGTTTTAACTGGCCATGAGGTAGTGCTCTGAAATATAAATGCAGTTCAGACAGTTGTTAAAACGAAAAAAATGGTAAAATCGGTTTCTCGTGCAAGTATCGGCCGATTTTCGATTTCCCCAAAATTAAGGAAATCGGGGACGATAAACTGGCCAGCCGATTTATCGGTGCACCCTATTGATTAGTCGTAGCCTATGTGCAGAAACCCAGTTCAAAAGATCTGAGCTCTTTACACACACAGTCAGCAAAAGTCACAACATTTTCCGGCATCGCCCATAATCTTTATGCAGAGGGTTTTACTCTGTTTTATTGCTTTCAGTTTAATCCCACAACGCTGCACTCAGTTATGACAAGCGTTATTAAAGGTTTGATAAGAGCGCATGAGGACTGACATGAACTGAGCTGCACGCACACTGTACGTTGTCTTTAATGCTAACTTGTAAGTAGCCTGCACAGTCACCTTCTCCTGAACTTGACAGCTTTGATCAATAGAGTCTTGACGGATGTTGTATCAAGTGTTGCCGGTTCGTCCTCGTCATCCGATCCCAGCTAGTGTTTATTGGCAGTGTGGGCTGCCCGGGACACCACCGACGCTTGTAATGAGCTTATCTTGTAGATTTACCCGCGGTTTAATGTGATGCTGGTCAGAGTGAGTTAATGGGGGACAGGATGCTGCCGGATTTGACACAGACCTCGGGGGGGACTACGTTTGTGCAGAACACTGCTGTGTTCTTAACTCGCTTCCAGCTAAACGGCAGAAGTGTCTGTCAGATAGTTTGGTGACGTGCAGTCAATCAGTCAGACTGCAACATGCCTTCAGCTTGAGAGATGAAAGTCCCCAACTCGGTCCCATAAGCAGCACACTCACATAGTGGGCCAACCAGTTTGCTGGTGATAAGATGGCTCCTGGGGCCCGGCCTCTCCCCTGTCGACTCCTCTGAGGCAGCCGTAGACAAAGAGGTTCAGCTATGACTGACTTATAGTTTGTGGTGGCTCATTTTAAATAGTCTTGGTTGACTGCAAATGATAATTAGATATAGATGTACATCAAATGATTTATTTCTGAGAATTTTACTAAAATCTCTTCAGTGGTTCTTGAGATATTTTGCTAACAAACACAGTGTTGACTAATAGTTTATGCCAAGGTTTTAAGTAAATGTGTCCGACAGTGTGTCGTGCTCTGAGTATGTTTTACAGATTACGGTGAGCTTCTACAGCACCAGACATCAGCTTTATAGATAAATAAATGCATTTGCTGTGGCTGAGCGGTTAGAGCATTGTCCTCCAATGGGAGAGTCGGGTGTTCGATTCCACCAGCAGTCACATGTTGAAGTATTTGGACAAGATAGTGAACCCCTCACTGCCTCCGATGTGTGTCCCATCGGTGTATGATTGTGATAAAGCTCTGATTAATCTCTACAGATTCAGATTAGCTTTGTAGAGCTCTGCTGTGTGAATGGGTAAATGAGGGCACAGGTTTTAGTGTAAAGCGCTTGATAAGATAGAAAGGTGCTACAGTCCATTTACCATTTAAATGCATCTTTCTGAGAATTTCATTACAGTAGGCTGTGGTTGATGAGGTGTTTTGCCACCTCGACAGACGAACACAGACATGGGCATAAACAACATATTGTCCCTTTTCCTTTGGCGTCAGTGGATAATCAGTGTCTCCTCGTGTTGTGGGGAACTTTTCAGAGCAAAGAGGCATTTGGGGAATGTTGTTCTTTAAAACGGGTGATAACTGATTTGTGCTAACCCCCACCCTCCACCCACCCCTGACATCACCCTCCCGCTGGGTAAAACAGACGCAGGCAACGTTTGAACCTTCGTAAAATAAACCAGCTTGGCAGGTGGTGCTGATTTTATCTCCGCACAGCATTTTATTTTTTTTTTTTGTGACGTACCGGATCAGCTGTCGGGTGTAGAGGAGTTGAAAATGAGGGTGGGGTTTGGCTTGTGTGATGAGATCACCTCCTCCTCCAAGGCTTATGGTCGACATGTTCTAACAGATTCGAGGGTGTGATGCTGATCTCTGGCCTCTTCAGGCTGTTCCACAAAACCTGACTAAAATAAGAGCGCGTTGCATTATTTTACATCAAGACTTTTTTTTTCACGCTAACTTTGCGCGTAAGAGTTTTGCGGTGACAAACATTTAAATTAATACAGGACCGTATGGACCACTTCTGTGGCCTACATACAAGATGTTGCCATAACGACTGACCCTGCTTGTGTGGTCATAAACGAGTGTGTCTGTTTGTGTGCACTAATGGAAGAAGACCCCCCGGGGAAGGACGGTTTCGAGTGATCACCCACCCAAACCGCCTGACACAGTCCTGCTGGGGGCCGTCATGACTCAATACCCTCCTCTCGAACGTACGCCGACATGAAAAGATAAATAACAAGTGGTTTTTATTTACTGAATGTTTCTGAATTTCTAAAGGTGATGATGAATGTTTGCGTTACTGTCAGGATGATCAGTTATTGGAGACTGAAGTGCAGGTCCGTGTCTCTGCATGACGTCATTCATTGATTCTTACCGCTCCGCTGTGGCCACTAATCTTCCAGAGGGATGCATCTGTCGATCTAATCATCGGGATTAATGCTCCAACCTGAGAGATGCTGATGTTTGGAGCCTGATCGCAGCTTAATTTACACAGGGCTTAAACACAGATATTGTAAAAGACAAGTTGGTTTGTAAATACACAGAAGAACCGTGTAGAGTAATACGCTGTTTAAAGTGTGGTTCTTTTCGCTACAACACATTTATTCACTTGGTCCGTTTCAGTTCGTTGCCACGGACACAAGCTTCCTGAAAAGTTTCTGGGACAATTTGTCTGAGTACTTCTCATTGTGCCTTAATCCAAAAATCTCTTCCCAACAAGGCATCGATTCTTGGTCTGACTGTGTCCTCCAGATTAACAGCTGATTCCTTTTCTCAGAAATGACATTACTGGAAAGAAACGGACTTAATGAACGGCGTTGTGTTTGTGCAGGGCTGGGATCGATGATGTGGAGACGGACGTGGTCGAAATCGAAGCGAAGCTGGACAAGGTATGGACTCGACCCGTTCTGTCACTGAGGGGTTGGAGCAGCGCCTCCATGTCTTCGGTGTAGAATATTTAAACACACACGTGACTGTGGAAACGCTGATTCACGTCAGTGAACGCTTCACGTTCTGTATTTCAAACACCCATCGTTCAGTTTGTGATTTGTAATTGAAGAACGAGACTCTTTCTGTGCGCAACACGACGGTTTTTCACAAATCATTTGAAAAATATGGAGGTACTTTAGTAAAATAACTAAAGTATCACATTTTTAAGGGTTTATCTAATAAGACAAATGTCTTAAGGGCACCAAAATATGAAGCTTGCACAAATTGTTTTAGTGAAAAGTGTTTTTTTTTTCTTCATAAAGTTAGTTTGACAAACATTTATGATGCTCAAAGTTCATTTACATAGAAAGTTCACTTTGTGGTGAAGATCAGCAGGGATGGATGACTTAATGAGATAAAGCTCCTCAGTTAAACTAATAAGCCAGTAAGTCAGAGACAGGCCAGGAAACGAGACATCTAATCTAGTTTAGTGTGACTGGTTTCTGTTTGTATCTAAAGATGAATCTTGAAAGTCTCAGAATCAAACTCTTGATTTTGTACGGACTGTAAATCATGCGGCAGATAAAAATCCATCACTTTGTTCAGCTTCACCTGATAAAATCGCCAGGTGATATTAAAATATATTCATCTTGTGCAGCTTTTTTTTATAAAGACCGAGATGCAGTTTCTCTTCCTTATATCAGAAATAAAAATAAGCGCATCGGTGAATTATTTCTTCAGGCGTTCAGGTCAGGACCCTCTGCTGAACCCTGAGCTGATCTGAGCGCTGCCGACAGATTAAAAAGGTCAAAGTGGAGGTTTAAGAGGCTTCAGTCGGGGGTTTGTTCTGACAGCAACCTCTTCGTGGACAGAAACGCTGTAAAATTTGTGTAAAGTGAGAAAACATTCCCAGTTTTCTGCCACAACAGCTCGTTCGTGATCTAAAGTTAGGGACTATTACAGTACGATGTGTTTTCCATGTGATTATTTAACTGGTTCTTTACTAGCAGTGAAGACACGCACAGTGTAATGGACTGCCTATCATTTTTATTGCCTCGGTTTCCTGCAGGGACTGTCAGTTCTGGTCACTTAATCCTGCAGGGCGTGTCATGTGGTACCAAATGTGAGTGACTGTGCCTTGAGCAGAACCTTGTTGTTCTTCGAGACCATTTGTTAATAAATCCTGACGCTGGCGGGCGCACAGTACAGTTCACGGTTAGATCAGATTCACGTGCTTGTGTGCACATTCTGCGTGTCATTAGCCTTGGAGGAGCAGCGATGTCGCGCTCGTTTGCGTTTTCTGTGAATTCATCGTGCAGGTGTTGATCTGAACATGAGTGTCTTCAGCGCAGACTTGTGTGCACATGTTAACGCACACTGTAAGCCAGCAGCTCGCTTTTAGGAGTGTTTGTGCTGTCTGTCTGCACGCAGTAAATAACGCTCTACCAGCCTTTCAGTAAAACCACACTCGCATAGTGACAACCATGGGAACTCCTGCTCTAAATGAGATAATTAAAAGGCTTTCCGCACTCTCTCTTTAGCGGAACCCCCTGCCTCCTCCTCCGTTTACCAGCGCACACATGCACATGTTCGGGTGCTGGTTTACGCACAGCCACATTAGTGCGGTGGTAATGACAGTGCAAAAGTCTCTAGCTCATCATATTACCTCCTGACGTGGGGGCGTGCGGCGGCTGCCACCTCACGTGGTGTTGGAGAGCGTCCGTACATCACTGTGAGCTTCTGCTTGCAATTAGCAGTTTATGGTTAGCGTTGTTCTCGAGTGACTGTGTGAGAAGCCCACCAGACAGTACTGTATCTGACATCAAACACTGTGCTATTGTTACACGATTACCAAAAACAGAAACGTTCACATAAAAAGTAAGTTAACATTATTTATCTGAGGAGCAGCTCTGAGTTTAACTGCATCACAGAACTCTCACTGAGCGAGCGTGAAGGCGACAGTGGAAAGGAAAAACTCCCCTCATGAGGAAGAAACCTTTAGCAGAACAAGGCTCAGGGCAAACGGTCATCTGCTTCGACCCACTGGGTTTCAGAGGACAGGAAGGAGGAACAGATACACAATGGCAGGTCGAGAATCACATGTTAAAATGGAAATAGTATCAAATTAAGCTATTCAATTTTAACAATTCATTTAAGGAAACAAAGTCAATTTGTCCTCCAGTAGTCTAAGCATAGGCGTCGCCACCATTATATGTGAAGGGGACAAGTCCTTCACATTAAAAAAACGTTCATTTGGACGCCCCCACTTTTACATTAAAACATTAGTTCAGGCGGCGCAGTTTCTCTTTCTTCCTGAACGAATCCATTCCACTTGATTAATAGAATACTCAAACCACTAAAACTCCACTCCAGGTTTTCCTGGTTACCTCCACCGTCTCCTCCTGCCTCGGCAGAAAATGCGCACAGGTGGAGGAGATGGAGACACCTCTGTGTTACTCGCTCACCAGTTTAGCGAGCTCAGTGTGGGCAGTTGTTGACCAGGGTGGTTGATCATAAACATATATTCATGTTAGGAGGAGAGAAGTGCAGCGCTACGTCTGTAGCATGTTAGCTTAGCAGTAGCTGTGACGCTGTGAGACGCTGCAGGTGTAAGAGACTCTGTGTGTTCAGGTGCATTAAAGTTGAAATGTCTTTAAAACCCCACACCTTATTGTCCTCAAACTTCATGAGAAACATCATTTAGATGAGTCGTGTTGAACACAAGTAAAAAAGTCCAGTGGTGATGTTTTTTATTTTTCTATGAAGACAAATAGTGCTGACCTGACGCTCTTCATTAAAGTGTATTAAAGTTAAAATGTCTTTAAACCCACAGCTGAATTTACACAAACTTGGTGAGAAACATGTTTTAAATGTGTGGAATTAAAGGAAATCTTGGTGAAATGCTGCTTTTTTGTACATTAGTGAGCACCTTTTTTTAACGCGCACTCACACATGCACACACACACACACCTACACACATCATTGCGTCCCCTCCACATTACGGATGCTTCTGACGCCCTTGACTCTAAGCCTATGGCAGCATAACAAGCCAACCCTAACTATAGGATTTATTAAAAAGGAAAGTCTTAAAACTGGACCATGTGTCAGCCTCACGGACACAAACTGGAAGTTGGTTCCACAAGAGAGGAGCCTGAGAACTGAAAGATCTGCCTCCCATTCTGCTTCTGGAAACTGAACCGTGAGTAAACCTGCAGTCTGAGAGTGAAGTGCTCTGTTAGGAAAATATGGAACAATAAGATCTGTAATATAAGATGGAGCTAGGTTGTTGAGAGCTTTGTAGGTTAGAAGTAAGATTTTATATAATTGGTATAATAATTCAGTGTGTTAGACTAGTATTTTCAAAGGGGAAAGAAGATAAACATAGTACTATTTTTTTAAAGTTCAAGTTTAGATATCCATCCATCCATTATCTTTTACCCGCTTCTTCCATTTTGGGTCACGGGGGTCGCTGGTGCCCATGTCCATCAATCACTGTGCGAGGGGCGGGGGACACCCTGGACAGGTCTCCAGTCCATCACAGGGACACATAGAGACAAACGAGACAAACAACCATTCACTCTCTCACTCACACCTAGGGACAATTTAGAGTTACCAATCAGCCTAACATGCATGTTTTTGGTCTGTGGGAGGAAACCGGAGTACCCGAAGAAAACCCACGCATGCACGGAGAGAACATGCAAACTCCACCCAGAAAGTCCCCTGGACCGGGATTTGAACCGGGGACCTGCTCGCTGAGAGGCAGCAGCTCTACCAGTTGCGCCACCGTGCTGCCCAAAAACCCTTTTCCCAACAAGGCGTCGAGGCAGCACATTATTAGTATTTGTCTAAACAGCAGATGTTAAACTGTCCAGCTGTTGTAGGGATTGCTACATTTAGACAGAAAGTATTCACAGATAACTCTCTCAAGTTTAGATATTTTATAACAATTGACAGCAAAACATTGGGCAGCTTGTCTGACCCCCCCCCTCAGATTCTCATGCTGACAGTAACTAAGGACGGCACGTAGCACTTACCAAAATGGTGGGACAAATTCTCACCTGGTCAGAATGCACTGTGGTTGGCATTCCAGTGTGTTTCTATTTCAGTGACTCAAACTACTGTTGTCCTCGTGTCCTTGTTACCACTTGGGATGAGAGAACGAGTTTTTAAAATTATATTATAAAATTCCAATACCTAAAGGAAATATGTCATATTTCTGCTCATGTAGCAGCTTGCAGCTTTCTAGGTTTATTAGTGGAAAGTGTTTTCCATCTAATACTTTCTCTGACACCCTCTGAATGATGACAGTGTACATTTTTTGCTAAAAGGTTCTGTAAAATTTGTTCTGCTTTAGACAAATATCGCTAAATCGAATGGAAGAATTTATGCATGGGGTCACATTTTTAAGCGCGACGGCTGCATGAGGAAATATATGCCGTTAAAAATAAAGCAGTAGGCCAGGAATTAAGTGAAAAGTGGCAAACATGAGAAGATGTTTGCTCGTGTAGCATACCATTAAGTCATCCCTTTAATTATGTTTCTAAAGTAAAAAATCAGAAGATTCCTTTGTAAGTGGGCGCATATGTGAGGATGGAAAATGACTTGTATGACAAACTTTGAATCACCGTGCTTTACAACGATGTGCATTTTAAGCTACTTTGCATTGTTCTGTTGTTTTTGACCATTTTCAAGAATTTTAACTGTCATTCACATCACATGTGGTACATGAGGTGGAATGAAACCATGTACACAGGGTCCCAGTTACATCCAGCAAATTGTTAAGGAAACCAGTAGTAAGAATACACTAAGCACTAATGGTACAAAAACAATGTTCTAAAACAACAGCAGCACGAACATGAGCCTGTGTGAGCAGATGAGGACTAATGAACACAGCAACGTGAAATAATCAGCAGCATGAGATCAGCAGCATGGATAATCAGCAGCACACATCAACAATCAAGTGGCATTACAGTGATTTTTTAAATTTCTTTATTTTATTTTTTCAGTTGTTTTTCACAGTGATTATTCTGGTTAGAGATTCTTGAGTCTAACAGCCTCAGGGTAGAAGCTGTTCCTCAGCCTTTAGTCACACATTTAAAAGGATAAATCAGAACTTTTTTAAAGCAGAATGTTGCATGTGGTACTTCTGAGTAGTCAGTGTCTTACAGGTGGCAGATAGGAGTCACAACCGTTTCACTTTAGAGGATTAAGGAGAAGTTGTGGGCGGTAGGTCTGAAATACAACATTCGGTACAATAAGGTCAATTCAAAATGAATTTCTGCAATTTAAACTTCAACAACTGGGCTAATTTTAATAGTTACGCAAAACAGATTTTAAAACACTAAAGCGATGCTCTGTGTTATTCTGGGTTGATAATAATTTTATCTAAACGTTAAACAAGCTGAGCATGACAGTGTCCTCTAGAACAGTGATTCCCCAACACTGGTCCCTGAGGAACGCCTTCCTGCAGATTTTAGTTGTTTCTCTGCTCCAACACATCAGATTTTTTTTTTAATGTTTTAGTTCTGCAGAAGCCTGTTAGTCACCATTTATTCAAATCAGGTGTGTTAGAGCAGGGAAACGGCATGCAAGATGGTGTTCCTCAAGGACCAGAGTTGGGAACCACTGCTTTAGAAGCATCTCTTACCAAACTCAAGTCAAGATTTTAAGATTTCAAACGATAAACTACAAGTTACAAACTATCTGATTGTTATTTTCAGATTTCTCAAGTTTTTTTTATGTATTTGTGAATACTGCTGTAATCTCAGCTGCTCTGTGTAGTTATTAGTCTCTGATCATTTAATCCCCCCCTCATTTGATCACTCATTATGAGTTCATGTTCCGATGAGGATTGTTCCTAATTTGAGTGTCTTCTCAAATTAAGCATGCAACTAGTCAATCTGAAGCCGTGTGAGGTTTCCACCATGACTGTGGCTAATAACATCCTTGCAGTGTGTAAATCTTCAAATCGACGGCGCGTGTTAATAAAAGCGACGTCTTGTTTTCGGCTTCTCGTCAGCTGGTGAAGCTGTGCAGCGGGATGATTGAAGCTGGCAGGGCCTACGTCAGCGCCAACAAGCTCTTTGTTAACGGCATCAAAGATCTGTCCCAGCAGTGCAAGAAGGAGGAGATGATATCGGTGAGTAGAAACGACTCCCATCACTTCATCCTCTGACGAATGTTTGAGGACCATTTTTCCTCTCCTCCGTCTTTATAAACACATTCCAGCGATTCAGCACATTATTAGTATTTGTCTAAACAGCAGCTGTTAAACTGTCCAGCTGTTGTAGGGATTGCTACATTTAGACGGGAAATATTCACAGATAAATCTCTTTTAGTCAAATACTTAATCTGTGCTTTGTTATTTTTGCCGTTCATACATGAGAACAGTCGGCTCATTCAGGAGACGAGTGCTGCACCTTTTCTTTTTTGTAACTTTTATACTTTTCAGAATATTTAACTTTACTTACAATTGTTTTCCCATAGATATATATTTAGCTCTCTTCATTTCTTATAAAATGTTGCTCCTTTTGACTTCTGCTTAACTTGCTTTGTTTGTTTTATGCTACTTGTAGCTTTTAGCTAGCCTTTTTGCCACATTCTGCTACTTTTAGCTTTTTTATTTTGCTACTTCTTGTTTCGAGCTACCTTTCTGCTACTTCTGTTACTTTTAGTTAGCGTTTTGCTGCTTTTAGCTTACAGCAAGTGTTTTGCTTCTTTTACTTTCAACATCACAGATTCAGCTTCTTCAGCACAAAGTCATTCAGCGCTTAGCCCTCGCATAGTTTTTTTTAATTTTCACAGAAAATGCGGCGTTTCCAGTTAAAAACAGTTTTTAATCACGAGGAAAGGATGAACGCAGTAAATCAGTGGCTCACGTGTCTTTTTGTTTGTGTCTTTGTGTGTTGGAAACGTTGCAGGAATGCCTTGAAAAGTGTGGAGAAAGCCTCCAGGAGATTGTCAACTATCACACGGTAAGACGGTTTGACACACGCGCGCGCACACATGCGTTATGACCTTATGACGTTCACACATGCCCAGACCTGCGTGTGTGATAGAAATCATTTAAACATCTCTACGTTTCATCCACATGACTCCAGAGTGATCTCTCCATGTGATTACTGTAAGTGTGATTTAAAAAACAGACATTTTAATAAGGGGCAGCACGGTGGTGCAACTGGTAGAGCTGCAGCCTCTCAGCGAGCAGGTCCCTGGTTCAAACCCCGGTCCAGGGGCCTTTCTGGGTGCAGTTTGCATGTTCTCTCCGTGCATGCGTGGGTTTTCTCCGGTTACTCCGGACAACATGCATGTTAGGCTGATTGGTAACTCTAAATTGTCTCTAGGTGTGAGAGAGAGAGTGGATGGTTGTTTGTCTCTATGTGTCCCTGTGATGGACTGGAGACCTGTCCAGGGTGTCCCCCACCCCTCGCACAGTGATTGCTGGACATGGGCACCCGAGACCCCCGTGACCCAAAATGGAATAAGCGGGTAAAGAAAATGGATGGATGGATATTTTAATAAGATGACAATACAGGCCCTGATATTTTGACATTTTGAATTTAATGCCTTTACAGACTTATTTTCTCCTTGTTGGGGTGAATTTAGATGAAATCACATGTCTGTATACCAGTGATGGAAAGAGGAATTGGAGAGAAAGGCGAAGCAGGAAGAGACAGGAGGTCTTAAGGAGAGACGAGAGCAGTCAGTCGCTTTAAAGAAAAACATATTTTTCTCACTTTTGGACAATCTGGTTTTGCAAAATGTCGTCATAACACGTTATGATTTCCAACAGCAACAGTCAGATGAGTACTTTTTATTTCATTTCATGAACTGTTTGATATGTTATGGTTGAAACGTGAGGGGAGGCACGAGACAGCTCCTAACCTTTAATTTTAATATTTTTCATTAGTTTTAAACAGAAGTAGATTAAACTAATGTTTAGATGTTGTTGCAGCTGGAACTCATGTCTGCGTTACATGAAGCAGGTTTTCATGACGACTTACGGGTGGACCCGTCCAAGCTGCTTCAGTAAGACGGAAACAGTTAGAAATACAGCGACGGGTCGGAGAATAAACTAAGACCGACTTCTGCGTCTGAAAACTGTCTGCTGAAGATGAAATTAAAAAATATATCACCCTTGAAATATTGCGCCGTAGTAATACGACGGAGCTTTAGCGCCACGCTAAGAAAAATTAAAACCCATAAAATTGCATGAATAAAATCCTACTATTACGAGAATAAAGTTGTACGAGTCACGAGCCTGTCAATCAATCCAGTAGGCGTGTCAGCAAATGACCAATCCGAAGCGAAATGAGTCGTAATATTATCCGAACTCCGACACGATAAAGCAGGTTCACTGCATTTTAACTGTGGTAAAATGAAGACTTGAGCATCTTAAGTTACACTTTGGTTTTACAAATAAGGAGATGGTTAATCTGTAGCATCAGATTATCGTCAGTATCAGGACTAACCTGGTTACAGTCAGGTGGTACGCTCTGATGGGCAGCTCTCTGCAGGTGAGGAGCATTTAACTTTGGATTGATCATTTGCTGACACGCCTACTGGATTGATTGACAGGTCGCGTTGTAGATCCGGCTCGTGAAAAAAAAAAAACACGAGCTGCAAAAAAAAAGTCTTGTATGACTTTATTCTCATAATATTGACTTTAATCACCTTTATTCTCGTAAATCTACAACTTTATTCTGGTAATTTTATGGCTTTCAAAAACATCCTTAGCGTGGCCGTAAAGCTCCGTCGTACGTTAATATTAGAAAGCCATTCAAGTATAAAATAAATAAACGAAAACTTGAATATTCTGAGCAGAGAAATCACTCTAAGCGTCAGCATCACGGCCTAAATAAAGAGGTGTGTTGTTTCTAACGTGGTGCAGATCTCTTCCTTGATGGAGATCATCAACTCCATCGAAACCTGGGAGGCAGGGAACACCCACACCGTCATGCAGTGAGACCTAAACTTTGTCTCTGTGCAGAAAAAGTTCAAAACCTTTCTAACAAACTGGAAGCTTTACTGTGAAACTAACTTTTTTCCTGTGTGGACTGAAGCGGTGTGCATGTTCTGTCTGAGAGGTGCGTTCCACCTCTCTGGTAAGTTGACCAGCCATGTCAGTTCCCTTTAAAGTACGTTTTAAAAACTGTCCTGAAGTTTGTTCGATTTTGAGATTTAATTGGCACAAGAGGGACTCACCGTTTGTCTAAGCATCTACATAAACCCAATAGACTTTATGAGCTGAAGGGCATGCACAATGATTTTTACAACAACAAGAAGAAACCTGGCAGATGTGTTTGTAGAGCAGTAGGTCACGCGTACAACATCCAACACGATCAAAACTGTTGATCCTCCTTTATTTCTCCGCCGTGTTCTTTTTCTAGGATTTTTATTCTGATCTGTCATTTTAATCCTGTTTAAGCTCAACTTTGTCCAAATGAAAGTGTTTTATTCGGCTACATCTGACTGACGGGATCGTCTTTTCTCTTATAAAAGCAGTTCGGTCTTTAGAGGCGTTCCGAGCTCTGTCTCATGACCCTCCTCCTTCAGAAAGCACAACTCGTTAAGCTAAATAGAGTCGGTCTTCATTCGTTACCCTTGTGCCCTTGCTTTCATGCTCTACCTTGTTTTACTTCTGAATGAAGGTGTCCCCGTCCTCCGCTCAGGAGTTACACTGACACCTCGTCCTGCAGACGTTATTAACGGAGTCCTGGCAGCAATGGGAGAAGGACGAGAAGACCGTAAATCTGTCTGTTCACAGCTTTCCTCTTCTGGTCAGACACCAAACACATAAGCAAGCAGACTGTCGCTGAACCCCCTGACGAGGAAACGTGTTTCCTCTCAAACATCCACTAATCTCGCTGCAAGACTCCACAGATGGAGAGACATGGACGTTTTGTTGAACTTTAAAATGTTTTCTATGCAGAAAGTCAACACACCCGATCGAGTTGAAGTCAAGTTTGTTGCCAGTCAATTTTTAACAAGTGGTACACCGATGTCCCCCGTCGCTGAGAGATTTGAAAAGTGAATGTTTGTAGTTTTCAAAATGAGTGTTTTCTTGACTGGATTTGAAACCTTTAAGGATTTTGGTGCAAGATATTCAAGTGGGGAGGCAGTACACTGGGTGTAAGAAGGTAGGCGAGGCGGTGCAGAGCGATGGATCCTGCAGAGCAAATGGAGCCATTTCATCCACCAGGTGCAACGGCGGAGCCAGGGGGTTGCCAGTGGTGGCCTTGGCCACCATTCATTAAGCTTCAACCACCCCAGGAGCCACCCCAATCATCTAAAGAAACTATACCAGTACTTTTAAGCAATATAAAAACTAGAAAACATATTTTACTCAAATGATAGGGGTGGCTGCTTTACACACATTTATGGAGGTGGCCATTGTGGATTTTGACATGGCAACCCCATTTTTGAAAGGAACCTTTCTTACACTTAGATGCAGCCACACATCAAATAGTAAGTTGGCCTGTTGCTTATTTTTCAAGTTATCCAGCTCACATTGTTTACATATAGATATCAGCGGCCGTCTTGTGTTACGACCTGGCCGCCTAAGTTTTAAAATTAACCTTTCTTAAGCCTAGCTGCAGCCACACATCAAAAAGGAAGTCGGTACCTCACTTATATTTTAAGTTATCATTCTCAATACATGCACGGACTGATGGACAGTATTTCCAATTCCCCATTTTTGCTCTGCAATGGGGAACATCAAGCACAGATGGTCTTTGAATTTTACTAGTGTTGGTTTGGGAGACTCGGTGTAAAGCTACTGGAGGAGCCAGCTGAGGTGGTTCAAGCATCTGGTAAGGACACCCCCTGGGTGCCTCCCTAGGGAGGTGCTTTAGGCATGTCAGGCTGGGAGAAGACCCCAGGGAAGACCCAGGACACACAGGAGAGATTACGTCACATGGCTGGCCTGGGAACGCCTTGGAGTCTTCCCAGAAGAGCTGGAAGAGGCTGTGGAAAGAGACGTCTGGACCTCCTGATGAAGCTGCTGCCCCCATGACCCGACTTTGGAATAAACGGAAGATGATGGATGGATGGATGGATGGATGGATGGATGGATGGATGGATGGTTTGAGCTTAGGGATAATAGCATGTTTACCATAAGTAATGTTAACAAAGTGGGTACAGTCTATCAAAACATTTAATCTTTTAAAACCAGTTAGTTTTTCATTATTTTTAAAATTAATAATTAATACTGTTCTTTAAATCATGTGTCAAAGTGATTATCATCTTTTATTTTTTTAATTGCTTTATTTTCCTGT